AAATCAAAATTTGTTGCTTATTATATTGCAACTTAAATTCACCACTTATTAAAGTGAAACTTTTATAAAAATGAATCAGGCACCGCTAAGAGGAAATATAATTTCGAAATAATGATATCGTATCGGTATACTACTGAAATATTACTGAAATAACAAATGCGAATCTAAGACTGTCTCAGCTGAGCCGCAGACGTAAGCACCAAAAAGATACGGAAATTCTCGGAATACTACGATCTACGTCTCAGTATAAAAAAAATAATACTAACAAAAATCTAGAAATGTTTGGAATACAAACCGCACAACTTCAAAATCGCATAAAAACAATCCGCATAAAAAGAGACCTGACTGTATTTCAAAACAATTCTTTAAAATTATTGTGTATCATTAAATTACCGTTAGGCCGCCATATTGGATTTCATTCCAACTACAGCAAAGGCTGCCAGGCACTTGGCGCAATTACCCCCAATATCAAATTAGTTCCCAAAATAATTATTATGTATGTATCTAGGGCATGAACTAAAATCTTTTCGTTCAAATCCAGGGGTAGTTGAAAAGTCAATACAAGAAATTTCCCACATTTAACAACATTGTTAAACAAATACTAGACCATAGTTTAAAAAATATTATTATGATCATTGTTTTAGTTCATGCCCTAGAAAACCTTATGAGAAAAAATGGTACCAAGTTCCAAAGATACTTAATGGTAATATCTTGAGAAAGTTTTAGCACAATTTTATCATATATATATTTTTTTTATTTACACAATTACTTACTTAAAAGTCATTAGTTTGTAGCTTACACTTTCCCTTTGTTTGCTCATTTTAAATCATTTTTTTCTTTTATGTTAATCTATTTATTTCTAACACCTTTTAACCACTAACAGAGAATTTTGTTTACACACTGTTATTCAATTTTTATCAAATTCTGCCAAAACCTTTCAATGTTGATGTATTAATAGTCACACCAAAATGTTTCAATATATTTAACAATTCTTGAAATCTTTTATTGAGCTGAATTACTGCCATGTATCCTCATAATCATAGTGTTGATAATGAATCAAAAACATCTTTTGGAATAAATTTCCACAGGATTCCATTGAAGCATCCGTTTGAGTTTTGTGTTTTTCCTAGTAAACATTTTTCTAATAAGTTTTGACCACATAACTTCATATATATTGGTTTGATAATGTTAATAAGATTTTTGGGAAGTCCTTTAGATTTATCCCTGTAAATATTATCTTTTGATAGGACTTGCTGATATTTACACCAGCTATCTGGTCCAACAGGGTATTGGGGTCATGGATTTTTTTTTTTACATTATAGCAACAATGGAAAAATGCTTCAATAATTGCATGTTGAATGCCTTGTAAATTATTTATATTGTCACGGATAACAATGCCTTAGTAATTTTGTAACTTATTGATAAAGGCATCCATCAGTTTTCCTTGACCTTCAAGGCCAAAATACACATATCTTTCACCCTTCAGAGTATCCTTAAAAAAAATAATAAATAAATAAAAAAATAAAATAAAACAAAGTAAAATAAACATACTGTAATTTTCTCATTCAAACAGATCTTTTGAAAACACGATAAACACCCAGAGGTTTCATAGCACCAGATGAACCTATATGTTTTGCACAATTATGAGTGGTGTTTCCTTCTTTGTTATTTGAAGTTTACACTTTTGACAAAAATTCAACATCTAACCCTTCCTAATATCTTTTGAGATAACAGATACACATCCATTCAAGGAGGAATATCTTCTTTAATGTCAAATTCCATTCCTCGACACACCACTTCTAGAAAATTCAGCATTATTTCCATTATCTCTAATTTCCAATACAGCTTATTTCATCATATTGCATGCTTGCTATGTAGCTAGCAGCAAATTCAAGTTTTTTTCCCTGCACAGAAAATCAAATTCTTTCTTAGATGGTACATTTACTTTGACAATAGAACAAAGTTTTTTTTTATCACAGGATGTCCTTTACCAATAATTCACATACCAAAAACAAATGCAAGATTGATACTATGCAATTTATTTACTTTCTCAGAAGAGCAGAAAAGAGAAAGAATAGTCAGTTTTCACATTTAAAGTCATATTTATGGCTAACCCAAACACAGTCTTGCACAACACTAAATTTTCTTTCAAAACCACAGGAAAACATAAAAACAAAATTATATAACTCAAAACTCCCAAGTTAAAAATAACATTTTTTTCATTGTTTTCTGGAACATATGTAGGTTTTAAAGAATTAATTGGCTTTGATTCACTCACAGTTGGAATACTGAAATCGGTACTTTTTGCTCTTGGAAAATGAAATTCCATTATACCCATTTCCTTAGAACTGACGTTTACGGGAATAACTTTTATATCTGCTATTTCCCATAGTTAAAAAATACCAATGCTAGTTAATAACTTTTGTTTTGCAACTAAACAATCAGAGTTTTTATCAAATCAAACTGTATGTAAACAAAACAAACATTGTCAGATTTACTTCATCAAATATTTTCAAAATGCGTAATTACTTTTAATATTATATCAAAAATTTGTTAAAATTATAGTTAAAAAAATATGGTATTTAAATTCTGTTTGACCAGTTTAGATGCCAACTTCCAGTTATTTAAATACCTACTTCAGGTTTTTCACACTGTTCTAATTCTTACATATCTTGGCTTTTAAGTGACCAAGAAACAAAACAAGAACAACTTTATTGAGCTAGATAAATGTTTTGTTTTACAATAACAAAAACTAAAAACCCGATTTTTGGCAAAAATTGACCCTTTTAACGTATTTGTATACCTTAACGTTGCTAGTTAAGTCCTAGCCAAGACATATGTTTAGTATTAATGAGGTCTCTATCTCTTATCTTACTCATTCCTTATTTATTATTTACTTGATATAATTACTTTAACTTTTTGATTTAGAATAATAATTATTATAACATACATATAAAAGACATAATGTCATGAAATAATAAATTTAAATCTATTTCTTATGACTAATTACTGATAAAACAGATGAAAATATAAAGAAAAGATAAGCAAAAAGCAACAGCATATTTTATGTAAAAAAACTACTCACAATTAGAATCGCAACAAAGCATGCCAAAGTAGTATTCCAATCTCCATATGATGAGGCTTTTCCAACAAGAACACTGTAGAAAATGAAGTCACCTAGACCGAGTTTTACACCTCCTAAAATATTGTTTTATTAAATAAATTAGAAAAAACTCATTAAACTAATATAAAGCTGAAATATCAGTGAAATAGCTTATAAAACCAAAATACAACAAAATTTAACATCAAGAAAATCAAATATAAATTTATAATCTTATTCATAAATTTTTATACATAAAACTGCAGTTTAAAACAAAGTCAAAATATCTTTAAAATTTTCAAGCTGCATTTGAAAAATTTTTCTCACTTAACTGAAAAAATTGTTTTATCTTCATTAACTATGAAGTTTGATCCATAATTGTGAACAACAAAATACAAATTTATCACAAATTTTTTGCACCTTCCAAGTTTTTTATGCATATGTAAGCACATGACTAGTACAACAGTACTTCAATTGAATTTTTAATGAAACACATTCCATTTTATGAGAGATTAAGACCGTAGAGTAAGGGAATTATTTCAATCCTCAACAATATCTTTTTTAAAAAAATTCCATTTAAAACAATAATCCTATTATTTAAACTTTATCTCATGATTCATTATTTCTACTATGTAATGAGGGAAAAAATTTATAAAAAATGTAACATATTAACAGTTTCAAATACATTAACTCTATTATTTCTGTAGAAAATTAAATCCAATATATAATTAAATTATATATGTTCCTGGAACATGTCAAAATAAAATTTTTTTTGGTACTATTTGGTTAGCCAGGTACACGCAATAAACCACCAAATGTTGTTATCAACCTCAGATAAAATATCACTGACTGCAACTATTTTGCTTCTTTTTCTGTGTGATCAGTGTAAAAAGTGCCCACTTGGCGATACTGAACCTGGCTTATCAAATAAGAGTATAAAATGTTTCCCCCAAATGCATTGAGTTCATTTATAAGATGAAATAAAAATTTTGCCCAGATTATCTTTGCTTTTTGATAAAAAATTATTCTTAGAAAATATTAGAATTTTCATTTCAGTTGTTTCTTTTAAAATCTTTTTTTGGCAATGAACTTAAGCTCAATATCTTGAACAACTTCATATATTAACACACTAAGCACAACAAGTAAAGAAGAGGTACTCAAAACACTTTAATATTCTGTAATTTTCAAATTTCAGATTTGAAAATAAGTTAACATACTTCTATCAAACAAAAGAGAGAAAAATATTCCTTATGTAACAATTTTACTTAAAACATTTTATGTTGTATTGATAACTCATCATGTGTCAAAGTGAATCTTAAATTAAGAATTGCTACTTTACAATCCTTCAAACTGAAGATAAAGAAAGTTTGAAGTGGATGTCTGTACTAAATTTTAATTTTGATGATCAACATTAAAAGGAAATACCATTTCAATAAGCATTACTTATTTTATTGACAAATATCAAGACTTGAACATCAGAAAACAAAAAGCTAAAAGGATTAGAAATCCTGTTTGTTTTGTAAAAGAAAAATTATAAGCCATCTTAATTTAGGAACTTAAAAATATTCTTACAGTAATAGCATATACTTAGATCAGATTAAGAGACAAAATTATATTTAACAATATAGAAAAAAATTTTTAAGTCAATTCCTACTAAGGTCAACAAAGAAAAAATTTATTTTAGTTACTTTTTATTAAATAATTACAATTAATATAAATATGTATATACATATGACAGAATCCCAATATTAAGTGACAGTTCCTTGCAATTTTTCAGTTTCCTTTCTATGTATGGTGTTGGACTATTTTTTTTGGTTGTTACTATTTATTCATTAATTAAATTGAATTATTCTAATAAAATAGTATAGTAAAAAAGAAATCACATTCGCAGAAATCAGGCCATCCCAGGTGGGATTTGAACCCATGACCTTTGGATTAGAAGTCCAACATGTTATCCATTGTGCTACAGGGATACAATGAACAATTTTCCTTTCTATATATGCTATTGGATTTCTTTTAGACGTTTTGTAACAAAATATGTACAGAATAAAATTTTTGAACAGCCGACTGGGTGGCGAAGTTAGTTTGTTTCTGGCCTTTTGCACCTAAGGTTGCAGGCTAGACCCCGGTCCAAGTCGGTGGATTTTCATGATGCAGAAAATCGACAGTGGCCATGTCGTATGATTATATGTCATGTAAAAAACCCCTACAGTGTCTGTTTGGCTTAGATGATCTCAGAAAAATTAAATCCTTGTACAGGTTCGCATCGTCAGAGCTCAGGTGCCATTCTAAAAAGTGATACCAGCTCCTGGGGAATATACTAGGTCTGAAAAGGTAAAAATATTAATCCACAGCCCCATTAGAGAAAAAAAAATGGTTTAATGCAGTTTTTTGCTCTTTTTTACTGTTTTTTTAAAATCTTTTTATTATAAGTTACATTAAGATGTTAAAACACACTAACACAAAAATAAGCTTACTTTCTTCTTCTTCAGTATGACCTTCACCTTGAGAAGGTATGGACTGGCTGCGATTTCTACATGTCCAACCAGTAGCCCTGCGACTTCTTTCAGAGGAACGCGCACTTCCACTGAGGTCATTTGGTCCATTTTCTTCAATACTTTCTGTGTTTACAATACTCATATTTTAAAATACTGTAGTATTTTTATTGCAGTTGCTAAGCAATAAAGTACTTCAAAATCAATGAACTGAGAATTAATAGTCATCAGTTAATAGGATACATATTATTTATTCTTAATAAACTTAAACCTAACAATTAAAGTAATTTTTGTAGATATGTACCTATATTTTCTGATTTTGAAAAGCAAATACTTTGGCAGATAAATTTTCTTAAATCACTTATCAACATTCTTTTATAAAAGAAATTCTTTGCATTTAGTAAGGAATTTTATCAATGCAAACGATACAATTTTATAAAGTAATAACAATTTAAGACACAGACAAATGATCCATATATATATTAAACTTCATTATGAAACTTCAAAATAATTGGGGTTTATGATATTTTTAATGTTTAGTTTACGTAACAAAACATTCAGAATTTTACAAAGTATAATTAAAATTAAATAAAGGTGAATTTTTTTCAAGGTTTAATAGATAATTACCTTGGTCATTGTCCCCTTGTTGGCTGTTACATTGTCTTTTATTCCCACTTGTACGATCTGTATCACTCATTGTTACACACCAAGCCATTGCAGCTGTTTAAAGGGGAAAATATTACTAACAGACATACAAATTAAATTTTAATTTAATCATGCAATAATAAAACTTGAAATAGCTTAGAAAGTCAAATAAAGCAATTAATTTCCAGTCATGAGTTTTTAGTAAAAATTAAGGATTAAAAATTTAATAAATTACAATTTCAACACATACAAATACTTGATAAAACCAATTTCCTTTTTTTTTTGTCACCAGTGTTTATAAAATATAATTTTCCCAGATTTTTCTTCTTGATAATTTGTAAAATAATAATTTTAAAGATTATAGTCAGTGAGACTTAAAAAGAAGGAAAAAAATTAGCCTTTACAAGTCAAAAATTTAATAATTATAGCAGGATTAGTACAAAAAGTAATGAGACCAAATTTAAAAAAAAGAACGAAGATATTGACACAAACAATTAAAATTCTTCAAAACAGGAGCATTGGATGTCATCACGCTTTCCTCAATGGGTTTTCTATTTTTGGAAGTTGCCCTTGAAGCATCCATTTCTAGAACGTCCTTCTAGCAGCATCTCAAAGCCACTTGGAACTCTACTACGATCCCATGGCAGTGTTCTTTGAGGGCTGACTTGGGTCATCTGTCAAAACTTTAGTGACAAACTCAGTATAGATTTTTCTAATTTGCAAAGACTCCGTACTAATGGTGTGTACAATCATTTTATCAGTTCCTACAAGATCTACAAGCATTCAAACACATAACAGAATTAAATGGCATAGTGCTGTTCAATAGAACTCTACATCTTCAAGCTTTGACCAAGTCTATAAACAGAAATTTACTAAAATTCATATGCAATTGCATACCTGCCAACTTTTGAAAATCACAAAGCATAAAATCATGCATGATCAGCATTTTAAGGGAACTTTTAAATAACTCTTGAACAATATTTTAAGCAGATTTTTTAACATAATGTGAAGAAAATTTCACAAAATATTTCATTAGAAAATTACTCCAGAAAACTACTATTGTACTGATTACCAAAACTCATACACAAAAGTAAATTTAAAGGCATATACATTTAACACAAATTAATACTACAGTCCCCACAAGGTACCATGCATTCCCCCCCCCCACATGTAAAGATTTCCCTTCTAGGAATGAACAAAATACAAAAAACACCAGAGATTTAAGAGGTGCATGAAATGAAAGTGAGGTGTTTTCTAAGGTGACCAATCATCCTTCTTTAAGGAGGACAGTTCTTTTATAGGTTCTATCCTTCCTCAAAATGTGTCCTCCAACTAGAACAATGAGAAATCAACATTCTAAAACTGATAAAAGATGGGTGGAAACATTTAACCATTTCAAAAATGAATACGTTTCATATGAAAATTTAGATATTGTTCCTTGAATTTATGTTGTGCTACTCATGAACTAATGCAGCAATTGAAAGAGTTTTTTCAATTGGTAATGATTTTTGGACAGGTGAAATATCAAGATTGAATGTAGATACTTTAGCTGTAACACTTACCATAAAATTCAAGGATATTTCTTGATCCAAAATTTCTGATACATTAAAAAACAATACATTGACAGAAAAAAAACATTCAATGGAAAAATGTTAATTTAAGTAAATAATTAAAAGGGATCCAAGCATAATTAGTGTATTTTTGTTTGAGACAGTAAAATATTTCATATATTTACGTTGTAATTTTTTCATAAATTTTTTGTCCTCCTTTTCATTGTAAAAAAACTTGTCACCTTTATGTTTTTAACATTATTTTTCTGTATTATTGCAGTGTCCTACTGTATCTGAAGAATTCGTTACAGTAGATGATAATGGGTGTAAAGCTAAAATTATGACAAAGACATTTTGGAGTTTGTTCAAAGCTAAAAAAATATTGATTTCAATGGTGAAAATGAAATGAATAAATGCAGCTCTTGTTCCAACTTCATCCGAAATGAGGAACATCAAGAAAAGTATGCTCGGTTATTTAGAAGTACATTCCAATGGTGAAATGAATAACATAATGGACGACAACAAACAATTTGTTTATATTTGATACTAAAAAGATGATGCAAAGAAAAATATCAGATTATTTTCCAAAAAATCTCAAAATTTTTGCATTAAATTTGATTAAGTTCTTGAGAATGTTTTTATTTTATTGATTTTTATTAAATACATACATATATACACATTTATGTAGTTAGAATGTACTATAATTAACTTAATTTTGTTCAATATTCATTTTCTTTTTTTGCAATACCTTTTAACACGAAAAAATATTTCAGTCCCCCTCAGTTTCGTGTTAAGCGATTTTCACTGTACATACATAAAAGAAATGACTTTAAAATAAAGATGTTTTTATGGAAAATACAGTGAAACAACTCATCCTTTAGATTATATTTATAAAAAAAATTATGCTTACAGAAGTTAATGACCATCAGAAGATTTTGACTTGTTTTTTAATTAATGATGAAGTTTAAAGTATTGCAAGGACTATTAGTGATAAACCTTGTAATTTTGAAATTTGCTCAGGTGACAAGGATGACATCTGACCTGGTCCCCCACTCTTCAAACTTCCACACAATAGCAATGTGAGGACTTTGAGCCACAATAGCTTTGTATCAGCTCTTTTACAAGATGGGTCTTCAGTGGCACAAGGACTTGAACTCATAGCCACAAGTTAATGACCGTTATCACACAGCTAGTGCTGTAACACCAAATTAGAAGTTGATTTCATGACAACTAAGCAATAACTATCAGGTTCACAAATGCTTCAAAATTTTCTGCTTTTTTCAAATGCTTCTTTCCTGTGCAAACTTTTAAAACTTTATATAGAATGTATTTGCACAAACATCTCAACAACTTTTAAAGGTAAAGAAACACTTTTTCTGATGTCAAATTTTTTAAATGACACAAGTAAACCATGTTAAAGTTATTTTCTTTAAATGGGTACAGCAACATTTTTTCCCTTGGATTATTGTAGAATTATCTGCACTTATACTAACACTAAATGTGCTCAAAGCCTCTATCACAACATTTTTTAAAATTCATTCATAATGAGTAAATTAATATTTTCTTCAATAGAATTTCCAATCAAATTTACAATTGCAAAAAGGTCCTTTTAAATGAAACATTTTACAGGATAAAAGTAAGTGACCACAATGGAATTTAATTTGAAGTTTGTTAATATTACTGCCATCATATGCTGTTGCAAAAGCACCTTGTTTCCTGCACACTTTTTTTTAATCATATATTCTTTCCAACTAGAACCTAGTTTAATCTAGCAAATGTATCAGTCCTTCCACATCCATACAGCTTGGTAATATCAGACTTTGGAAATATTTTCTGAAAAGAGGACTGGCAAGATAAAATGCAATCAAAAGTATTGTTACGAATTTAGTCTTATTCTAATTGTTTCTACTCATTTGTGTTCATTTCTACAGTTTAATTTGTCGTATCTAATGTGATTTCAACCCTGTTTACCTGTAATATCATTTCCACTGCATTGCACGGTCCCCATGCTTTAACATTGGTTTAAATGGTAAACTCGCCAAATATTGCAGCTAGCGCCAAGTTGGCGACGGATTTGGCGACTTAATTTTTGGCGCCAAATTTGGCGATATGTCGCCAAATGTGGGCGATAAGCTTGGCGGCCATGGCAACCCTGCTCCTAATAACCCTGTCTGGCAACCCTATCGCGGTATTGTAACACTATGTATTGAGCTTTTCTCATACCTTCCGGATTTTTCTAGACCTTTCTATTTCTAGATTATTCTGGCAAGTGCCAGAGGTTTC